AGGTTACTCTCTCAACAGCAGCCCTAACGCGTGCAATCTGGCCTGCAGTGATTTGTAGCCACGGTTTATTGAGTACCTACCATGTGTCAGATATTGTCCTAGGCCTTTTCATATATTACCTCTCATTTAACCTTCACAGCACTCCTGCAAAGTGGGTATCACAGGAACATTTTACAAATGGTGTAACACAGGCTTAGAGAGGTAAAGTCATTAATGCAAAGTCACTTATGCCAGCTAATAACTGGCAGGACCAAGGTTCAAACCCAGGCCTGTCTGGAACTCCAAGGCTTGTGCTGTAACCACAAACCAGAGTTGATATCCTGAGAGGATCCTTAGGACACTTTTCCAAGTGTGTGTGTGTTTGTGGATATATGTCTATGTGTGCGCTGTCTCCCCCATTCGACAATGCCAAGGGCAAGGTTGTCTCCCTCATCAGACTGTGAGCTCCCAAAGGGCAAGGCCTCCTGTCCCCCTTCTTTGGTCTCCCTACAGGGCCACATTGTAAGATTGCTCACTGGCACTGCTAGAGCCGGGGTGAGATGCAACTTGGGGGCTGGGGGTGCCAGTAGGTCCTGGATACTGTGGGTAGCTCTGGTTAGCCCCCCTTCGAGCTGTGCCTCCTCCCAGACATAACCAGATGTCTGAACTCCCAGAAGAAAACCTTTGTCTCCAGTCCCTGCCCCTACAGCCCCCCAATGCTCAGTTCATTGGAGACCCCTCGAGTAAGACCAGAAGGCAGACTGGTTGATTTCAACAGGAGAGGGCTGGGTCAGGGAGAAAAGTCACAATGCCCAGGGCATGGAGTGGGCACTGAGCAACCCTAGAGCTGCAAAGAAGACTGTACCGTCAGTGGCAGGAGAACCCAGACCAAATATGAACGACCTGAGTGATTCTGTGACTCAGGCCCCCAGTGTCAGAGTAGAATTGTGCCCCACAGGGTTTTCCATGCTGATTTTTCAGAAGCAGAGCTCCAGGACTTTCTTTTGAAGCATCTCTCAGTGGATTTGAACCTCCGACCTTTTGGTTAGCAGCTGAGTGCATTAACTGCACCACCCTGGGACTCCTGGATTCTTCTAGAAGGTTGTTTCCTTAAGTCCACACACTCAGCACCTCTCTCTCATATGGAGACAGGAGGAAGCGCAGAGCCAGGGTTACACACTCAGGCTCTGGAGTCACACAGACCTGGATTCACATCCTATATCTTGAGTATGTGACCTGGAGTAAGACTTTTCCCGTCTATGAGCCCCATTCCCCCTTCACAGGGTTGAATGAGGACTAACTAGGTCAGGAGAGTAAAGGCTCAGCCTGGCTCAGCATAAGTGCTCAACAAACAGAGCTTAAAAATAGATAAGAAACATGAAATAGCTCCTGGAAATAGCATTTGTTGCCTTAATCTGGTCCCAGTCACTTTCCTGGTGTCCTTAGCCACCTACTGAAGTATCTGCCACCCACATCTTTTCCCATGAGGTAAGTGGGGCTTGACACCTATGGAGCTTCTCTTTTCCCAGCTAAGAGGGTCTGGCTTAGCCATCTGTATAGAGGAGTAGTAAGAATCTGACTCATAGTGACCCACTTTGGGTTTCCAAGGCGGTAAATCTTTATAGAAATAGATTGTCCTGTCTTCCTTCCATGGAGTGGCTGGTGGGTTTAAACAGCCAACCTTCTGGTTAGCAGTCAGATGACTTAGGCACTGCACCACTAAAGCGCCTACTCAAAGTCAGCACAGCTGATGTGCCAGGTACTGCTCTAAGCACTTGACATGAATCAGTCCATTTAATCTCCCCAACCACCCCATAACCTTAAGACTGTTATTATTCCCCTTTCAGAGATGAGGACATTGAGATACATACACACAGTTCAGTCACCTACTGAAGTCACAGAGGTACATGAATGGTGGGCGAAACAGGGATTTCAGGCTGGCTGGCCAGCTCCAGAGTCTGTGTTTCTAACCTCTCAGGCCTGTGGAAGCCAACTGATGCTGGGATGAGATGGGTCTCCCAGGTGTGGCTTGTACTTGGGGTTTGGCTGGGGTGGCCCCAGCTGGGCACAGGCTTGGGGCTCGGGGAAGTGTCAGCGTGATGAGGCTCAGGAGCTCAGGCCTCAGCTTCGGGCTGCATACCTGGCACAGAAAAGCACTCGAGGCACAGGGGCTGTTATTAGCCATCAGCACAGGTGTGGAGCCGGGCAGGAAGCTGGGAAACCCACGGAAGCCTGCAGCATGAGAGACAGGTACCAGCCCCAGAGCTGAGGGCTGGCAGTGCGGTACAGAGGCCAAGAGCCTCGTTCTAGAGTCAGCATTATGTTACTGTGTGCTATCCAGTCCATTCCGACTCACAGCCCACCCTATAGGGCCGAGTAGAACTGCCCCATAAGGTTGCCAAAGCTGTAAATCTTTATGGGAACAGATCACTAGATCTTTAATCCCATAGAATACCTGGTAGGTTTGAATCACTAACCTTTCAGTTAGCAGTGAGTGCTTTAACCATTGTGCCACCAGGGCTCCGTGGCATCAGTGTACCAGGGTTCAAGTCCTAGCTCTTCCTTATGTGTCCCTAAGCCCTTTGCTTCAGTTTCCCCATCTGTAAAATGGAGACGATGATAACATATGCCCCAGTTTAGTTAGCTGAGGTCACACCTAAAGTTTTCTAAACTTTCAGAAAGGAGCTCTGGTGGCTCTGTGGTAAGGCATGAGGCTGCTAACCAAGAGGTCAGCAGTTCAAACCCACCAGCTGCTTCATTAGAGAAAGATGAGGCATTCTGCTTCCATAAAGATGTATAGCTTTGGAAACACTATGGGGGTCACTATGAGTTGGAATCAACTCAATGGCAGTGGGATGGAAACTTTCAGAGGAATGCTTGGCAAACTGTAAGCACTCAGAGAGAGCATTAGTGACTATTTAAGGGGAGGGGTTCCATTTGGTGGTTCCGACACCTGTAGTTTCTGGGACAATGATCATCCTCTGCCCAGTGGCTCCTCACACCTTTTACCTCCATCCATCTTCCTTGGGTGTGTTGAGACTTCTGAGTGGCCCCATCCTCTCAGAAGGGGGACAAGGTTGGAATACACAACTAGATCTGGAGGTAGCACTAAGAAGCTAGGCTGCAGAAGGAAGGGTGGAGAGATCAGGTCTCAAGCTGCTGTGACCTCAAACAGGCCTGGCTAAGGGTGCTATGGAAGGAGCACTGGGGAGCGGGGTCAGGGCACCTGGGTCCCAGCCCCATCCCATCTTGGCACCACCTTGCAGTGTGACCTCAAAGACATCTCTTTTTAGTCTCTCCACTGTCCAGTGGGCCCCCAGCACACAGGCAAGTCCACTTGGGGCTGGGTCCCCTGGCACTTGGAATGGGATGGCCAAGTGAAGAGGAAGGGACACAGTCACTGAGGAAACGCCAGACCCCCAAGGCTTGGAGCTGGTCCCACCCAGATAGCCCAGAGCCTTTGGGGTTTCTGGATACACACCCTCAGAGAATCCTAAACACTCTTCACTCTTAAAACTCCCTCCCCTCTTGCTAGGCTGTAGGTCCCACAAGAGCAGGTGCTATGCTGGGCTCCTCACTGCTGGATGCTCAGGTACACATGAGGCCTGGCACAAGTAGGTATCATGGTAATTGGCTTAATGAATGAATTAATGAACAAACCTCATACAACCAGCCCCTATTCCTTCTCATGCCCAACGCACCATGCCACCTCTGATATGTTTCAGAGACATTGGAACCACATACCTGAATGTCCCCATAACACCCGGACAGGTGAGCAAAGGTCTTTAGAATCCAGAGGATTGGGGGCAGGAGGTGTTCCTCCCTCAATGCCCTCCTCCAGGACCCAGTCCTCTCTAGACCCTGCCCAGCCCCTCCCCAAGGTCTGTTCATCCCTCTTCAACTGGGTAAGTTATTGAGGGAGATGGGTGAGAAGGCTGCCTCCTCCCCAAGCCATGTGGTTATTTGAGTCAGTGGGTTTGGCCCCAGACTACAGAGTCAAGGCCTTAGACACCCCTACCCCTAGTCCCCCCACCCCTGGTCCCACTGTGGGGTGAAAAGCCCCAGGTGGGAGAATGGCCCAGTCTACCCTCTCTTCTCAATGCTGCTCAGCAGCTTGGGGTTCCCTGGACAGTTGGAGAGGAAGCAGGGAGGGTTCCAAAGACTGACTTGCCTATCCTCCAGGCTCAATAACCCCACCCCCAGACATCAAAGACCCCATGCCCAGCCTGAGACTGTGCAAGGGAAGCTCACACCAGCTCTCTGGGCACCACCTGAAGAGAGCAGTGGGGCTTAGGCCTGGCAACAGTGTTCCCACCAGGCCCCAGAGCAGAAAGGGCAGGGAGGTCAGGGTGGCTTTTAAAGCTTAGAGACAGAGAGAAAGGCTCAAGGGTTACTGCGGACATTAGCTGTCCTCTGTCCCTTCCCATCCCCTGACCAAGAGTGGGGGTGGGGATGAAGGATGGGAGATAAGGCTGGGGGAAGGGAACACTTTTGTATAACCTGTTCACAGCCATTAACCTCTTCCTGCCCAAGGGGTTCAGGGGCTGAAGTTGTGGACGTGGGGTGAGGAGAGGGAAGGAGCAGGAGGGTGAGCTGGGACCTCGGACTTGGGGGGGGGTGAGGGCCGTCTACTTGTTCCCCTGGTGCCCCTCAGTCCCTCCAGGGGAGCCAGGAGCAACCAGCAGCACCCTCCGCGCAGGGGTGTGTGGCCGTGGGAAAGGACCCTGCTTCAGGCCACCTGCCCGGAGCGGGTGGGAGGAGGGGAGGGGGATGAGGTGACCTCCGCGCGCTCCCTCTCGAGGGTACCGCCGGCACAGTGAGACCCCGGCCAGTCCTTCCCACACCCTGTCGCCCGCCCTCGGAGAGCCGAGTCCCCTTGGCTCAGCAAGGTGCGGCCGGTCCCGGAGGGGCGGGTCCACTCCCTCCCCCCCCAACTCCCTTCGAGCAGCCAAGGGGAGTAGGCTCGCGTCCTCGCCGCGAGGACCCTGGCCTCGACCCCCACCCGGACGCGGTCCTCTCACCTCGCGACACGCAGGAGCCCATTACGGGGCCACGGGACCGGGCCGCTGCGCCTTGGGTGCGTCGGGCCGCCGGGCGCTCATGTCGCCGAGCCCAGGCTGCACGCGCGGCGCCGGCGCAGCTGGTGGGGGGCGGGCGGCACAAGGCGCGCGGGGAAGGGGCTCCGCTGGGCTGCTTGGCCTCTGCTCCCGCCCGGGTCAAAGCCAACGACAACGCCGCCCCTAGCTCGCTTTGCGCCACCACCGCCCGCGCCGCGCCCGCTACTGCCGGCGGCCTGGCGGTGCTGCGGGCGGGGACTCGGGGGACCTCTCGGCCCGGGCGGGAGCTCTGAGCCGCCCCGCACCTGTTGCCGCAGCCCCAGGGGCATGGGAGGAGCACCTCTGGTCCTCAGGCCCCCGCCACCCTGGGACAGGGGCTGAATGTCAAGGAAAGGGATGGAGGGCGGTGGCAGGGATGGGGTGGGAGGTTTCTGGCATTTGGGGCACAAGGTCTACAACATTAATCTAATAATTAATAAAGACAACCAGGCACCTGGTGAGCAAAGAAACCAGTAATTAATCCCATCATCCCCATTTTGTAGGGGAAGAAACTAAGGCTACAGAAGTCAGGTGGCTTGCTGGAGGTCCCTTAACTGTGAGGGACAGTTAGCCCTTCATCTGAGGAAACTGGCCCAGGGTGGGGGTATAGAGAGGGTGGAGTGATGTACAAATGGCCACACTGAAGACATGAGTCAAGTTCTCACTCCAGGCAATTTCCCTCAGCAGCCTTTCTGGGTTCAGCTAGGACAGGGTAAACTGAGGTACCAGGTGAAGGTGGCTTCTTTTCTCACCCTAATGGAGCAAAGTGGTCCACTTGACTGGCACATGTAGCCGCACACTTGTACACACAGGAACACACACACAATCATGCACTTGTATGTGCGCTCACACACATTCATCCTCACACACATTGTGTACACATCCCCACCCACACTCATACATACACTAACACATCTGCTTGTACACACTCACAGAGCCATACACTAACAAACTTACACTCCCCTACCTTCACACTCACACACTCACACACATACATGAGGAGTCCCTGAGCAAAGCTTCCCTGTATGTCAATGTCCAAAGCGCTCACCTTCACTTTCCGCTCCCTCCTCCTCACGCCACCTGTGCAATGGAACATTTGTCACTGTGTCCATTTACAGGTGTGAAAGCTGGGCTCACTGGTTTCCTTCACAGAGGGTAATGCCAGGCAGGGTTTTGAAGGATGAATACTAAGGACTAGTGCAGGGAGAGGAGCTGGAAGCCTCTAGAAGAGCAGGCTCTGGGTCTGGTGAGGCTGCCAGGGTCCTGGGCAGATGCAGGTTTTAGGGAGTGCTGACCTTTTTCTCTCTCCCCAGCACTGATGCCCCTGGGCCTGGTGTCAGCAGGCCTGGGTGGTTCAGCTCACACTTCACCTCCCTAAGCTTTAGTTTTTTTATCTGTTAACTGGGAGATAAAAGTTCCACCTCACAGAATTAATGTGAGGGTTAATAATATATATAAAATGACTGACACATAGTAGGTACTTAACTTATGGCTAAAAATCAGTAACAGTTGACACAAGCATGATGCCTTATTACCTCATCACAGTTTCCCTAAACCCATGGAGAAACCTAACAAACCTCCATTCGATGAATATTTATGAAGCACCTACTATGTGCCAGGGTGAATAAGACAGATGTGCCAGTCCTGGGGCAGTGCTGTATTCAGGCACAGGTACTCAGAACCTCCACACTCTGCCCCCGTCAGACTTGCTCCCCCCCAAGTCTGGCCAAGGGAGGGTGGCTCGGAAGGGACAAGTCTTCATGGATCCCTAGTGCCTCACACAGTTTGTCTGTCATTGTGGTGCAGAAAGAAAGATGACAGCCAGTGGCCTGAGACCAGGCCCTGAAGTCCTGTCCTGTATGGCTGGGGGGTGGGGGAGGCAGAGGTGTCCTTTCTCTGCTTGCTGTCATGGAGTGACTGGATCTGGCTTGGAGGGAGGGCTGTGACTCACCATGACGCAGGACACCCGGCCACAGCTGCTGATGCTCCCAGCTGGCAGCCTGGCTGTTCTAAGGACAGAAGGACAGGAGGGGGGACCCCTGCAGAGAGGACAAAAGGGCAATTCACAGGGGAGAAGATGCCTGGGGACCTCACTGTGCCCCCCTCAGCCTAAGACAGGGGACAGGTGGGCAAGGCAGGGCAGTGCCCCATTGTAGAGACCAAGCTCATCAACTCAGAGATATAGCTGAGGTGGGGGGTGGGTTTCTGCCTGTCCCAGCTTTGGGCGTTCATGCTGGTCAGTTTCACATTCAATCCCCTCAATGAAGAGATTGGCCCAGAGAGGGACAGGGGATTGCTCAAGGTCACACAGCAAATTGATGCCAGAGTAGGAACTAGAACACAGGTTTCCTGCCTGCTGGCCCAGCTCTGGCCCCATCTTGAGACTGGGTCATGCAGGGGTGAGTGACACCTCCTTTTCACACCCTCACTCACCTTCCCAGTCCTTGGAATTCTGCTGAAGCTAATAATCCCCAGGCAGCTCCAAGATGTGTGCTTGTCCTTCCCAGGGGCAGATTGTCCTTTCCCAGTTCACCCCATGGCCCGCTGGCCATGTGACCTTCCACTGCCCACCCTCAGTGCCCTCCTTGTCCCACCCATTGATGGAAAGAGGAGATGGCAGGCCCCTGGTGCATGAGTGCACCAGAGTAGAGAGAGCTTAGGCTCTACCCTTCACACCCTGAATCCCACCCTCCCCATCATGATTTGGGGATCCAGACAGAGCCCCACTCCCGTGGTCTGCCCTGCTTGTTCCTATTCAACCCATGCACATCACCAGCTCTGAGTGTCCGGCCCTGGGCTGGGCACTGGAGCGTGGAGAGGAGATGCTGCAGGATTTGAATGGAGCAAGATTAATCAACAGGAGCCATAATAGCAATGAATCAGACCCAGTCCCTGTCTGGGAGGTCCTGGAGGCAGGGACGGTGGGGAGAGCCATGTACATAAATAACTCAGGGTCAGGGTGGACAGCGCTCCATCTCCAAGCCAGCCAAGTGCAAGAGAGGATACTTCCTCCTGCCAAAGACCTGGGAGTGGCTGCAAGGTGACAGTGACCTGGACACAGCTTTTGAAGGTTGAGTGAAATGTTGGGCAGACAGAGATGGTGGGGTGCTCTGTGTGTCCAAAGGAGGCAGAGATGTTGGGGACACACAGGAGACTGGCATATATGAGGGGTGGGAGACCAGTGAGAGACAGGTGGTGGTATTTTGGACAGGTGATGCCCTTCCAAACCACATACCTCAAACATCTCAGGATTGATTTTCTCAGGAAAGACAGGACTGGCTAAGCCAAAAGGGAACAGGATTTGAAGCCAGACAGATCTATTTCTGAATCCTGTGCAGAGCAATACATAGTAGATGTTCAGTAACTGTGCCTTGAGTGAATGCAAGACAGTGAGATTTGCCCAAGACCTCACATCTAGAATGAGGTCCCAGCCAGGATGGATGGATTCACACTTTCTTTCATTCAGCAAATAGCTACTGCGCACCTACTATGTGCCGAGCACTGCCTGTTGCTGAAATGACAGCATGAAGGAGACAGACAAGGTCCCTGCCCCCTGGAGTTTATAGTGTAGGTGAGGGAGTGGGACATTAAACAAATAATGACCCAGACATATTTAGAACTGTAGCTCTGAGGAGTGCTAGAAAGAGCTGTGAAAGTGTAGAAAAGAATTTGATCTGATCTCGGGCATTGTTAATGGATTGAATTGTGTCCCATAAAAATATGCGTTGTAAATCCTAAATGCTACCATTTGGATAAGGAGCTCAGGTGGTGCAGTGCCTAAGGCATTTGACTGCTAGCCAGAAGTTTGGTGGTTCAGACTCACCAGCTGATCTGTGGAAGGAAGATGGGGCAATCTACTTCCTAAAGATTTACTGCCTGGGAAACCCAGTGGGGGTTGCTATGAGATGGAATTGACTTGAATTTTTGGTTTTATCAGGTGGCTATAGGAGCTCTGAGAGCTCTGGTAGCATAGTGGCTAAGACACTTGCCTGCTAACCAGATGTCTGGCAGTTCAAACCCACCAGCCGCTCCTCGGAAGGAAGGTTGGGCAATCCTACTTCCGTAGTGATAACTGCCTCAGAAACCCAAGGAGGGGTCGCTATGAGTCGGGGCCTCAGAAACCCAAGGAGGGGTCGCTATGAGTCGGGGCCTCAGAAACCCAAGGAGGGGTCGCTATGAGTCGGGGCCGACTCGACAGCACATAACAACAACAACAACAACAATAGGAGCTCTGGTAGCATAGTGCCTAAGGCACCTGACTGCTCACCAGAAGGCTGGAGGTTCAAACCCACCAGCCACTCCTCGGAAGGAAGGTTGGGCAATCCTACTTCTGTAGTGATTGTTGTTGTTGTTGTTGTTTTGCCGCCCCGACTCATAGCGACCCCTCCTTGGGTTTCCAACTCGCTATGAGTCGGGGTGACTTGATGGCAAACAACAACAACAATAGTCCCATCTGGGTATAAGGTTTTCTCTGTTACGTTAATGTATCCATATGAATGCAGGGTGTGTCTTAAGCTGATCACTTTTGAGATGTAAAAGAAGCCATTCTGGAACGGAGATGGAAGCATAAAGGAGGGGAAGGTACACACCACTTTAGACCCAAAAGGACACAAGGAACGAAAGCTGAAAGAGACAAGGATCTCCCCTCGACCCAGAGAGAGAAAGGCTTGCCCTAGAGCCAGCACTCTGAATTCCTTCATCTAGCCTCTTAAACCCTGAGAAAGCAAATCTGTTTCTTAAAGCCAACCACTTGTGGTATTTCTGTTATAGCAACACTAAGAAACAAAGACAGGTGTGGAGGAAGCACCCTGGAGGAAGTGATGATGACGGAACCCAGAGATGATGGGTGAGCAGGACAAGATGGGTGGCCAGACAAGAGAGGGAACAGCCTCCAGGGCAGAGGGAACAGCGTGAGCAAAGGTCTAGAGGTGGGAGGAAGGGATCAATTCCTGGAGGAAGAGGAGGGAAGCAGCAGGAACCAGGCTCTTTAAGCTTCAACCTGGGCATCT